CTCTCTGGGGATACTACACTAACTACCGGGAAAGGCAGGCAAATAATAAAGCATTTCTCAGAGATGTCACTTCGGGGCTACACATTTATAAGGAGAGAAAAATAGATCCCACAGGGGCGCTGTGAGGTGTAACTGGGATAATACCCATAACGTGCTTAGCCGGTGCCTAGAACGGCTGCTGCTGACGCCGTTATTGCTGCGGCTGTTCTTGAGAGCACCACCTACTCGCTGTGTGAACTCGGGTAAATTACTTAACCCTGGGTCTTAATTTCCTCGTCTCCGAATTGAGCAGAATGACAGTACCTATCTCCTGAAATTGTCGTGAGGATTAACTGAGTTTAGCAGCTGTAAAGCATTTACAGGAGAGTTAACTGATATAAACTGTTTCTGGCACATAATATGTGCTATATAAGGGTTAGCAACTATTGTTGTCCTTCATGCTAATGACATCATTATTGAGGACCAAATGACTCAATGGATGTTACAGTCCTTGAAGACTGTAACCTGTAGACAAACGTGAGACGGTTAGATGGTCATAGTCAAGTGGCAAGCAATGTTCTAGACCTCTGGACCTGCGGGCCTGCAGACAGCATTTGAAGACTGAGAAGCCACTCGAAGTTTCAACCAAGCATCTATGATGTCGAGCATTGTGTTCATGCTTTATAAAAACTATAGCTTTTTCCCTGTCTGACACACTCATGGGAGGGAACTGAAGGTCAAAGGACACACATACTAGAACCAATGGAAACCGAACCAAATTCATGCCCCGTAACCCCAAAGCAGGGCTCCTCGAGGTTCTGCCACGTTGACTTAGTTGTGTCCTACCAGCGGCCAGCATCCAGTGACTGCTGCCATTCCGGATATAGGACTACATCGACAAAACCGTCAAAAGACACATAACAAAATAATGCTCTTAATAATTTATCTGCTTATTCGATAAACTTTGATTAAACAGTTATTAGGAACCTGAAAGGAGACAGGATCAGGTTGGGGGAAGACACTACAAAGGTGCACTTCAAGGGAGCTCAAGCTTGGCAGGGGTGCTGAGCTCCTAAACGCCTTTTAATATGTTTATTATTAATATATTATTGGCCTGGCCAAGGAGTATCTTAGAAATAAACAATTTAGCTGGTGGAGTGTTGTAAGTGTGACCTTGAATTTCCTGGAATAAAAGGAAATTCCTTATGAAATTCTTTGGCATTCGTAAAAAGAAGGAAAATTGGAAAATTTAATGAAATAACTTAAGCGTTTAAGTAATAATATTTAAAATAAAAATAAGGCAGTAAAAAGGTTATTTATTGAAATTGCTTTTAAATTCTGGGCATTTAGGGTCTGGCCCAAAGATAGAAAAATGCTTTTACACGTTTCAGTGTCCTGTTTATCTGGGAAGGACTTATCAAGCACAAGCCATACAAATTACTGAGATTATGTACCCTGGGTCTGGCCACTGGGGTTTTCATAATTTACCAGAACATCCAGAATAGACAACATCTATGATAGTCTAGCATCCATTTCCTGGCCCTAGCTAAGCACTAAGGAAAAGACTAATAATGCCTGGTTTACGGTATCCTAGAAGCATGGAATTTCTGCGTCACTATCTACTATTGAACAATAACCAGCAGGTTGACAGTATCAGGAGACCTAGGCAAGCAAAAAAGAAGGGACATGAACCCAAAGCACAGAGGTGGCAAACATCCTGTTCGGCTGCACACAAAGTGGCTGCTTCTCCAAGAAGCTGCTCAGCCTGCTCATTTGAGTCAGTGGTAACTAACACGGATGTGTTCTAATTGGCCTCCCTCTGAAAGGGATAAATCCAGTAAGTGGTACAATGCACAACCCTTGCGCATCCTTGTCCAAAATTATGAACACATGTGCTGGCGTGTCACCAGGCAAAGGGGCAGGGGAGCACCACTGGGGAGGAGCAGCTGCAGGTTTCATCTCTTCCTGGCTGTGCAGACCACTGGATTCCAAACCACAGCGATCACTGTCTGTTGTTCCCATCTGCACTTCCTGCAACGGCCTCTGCAGTGCCTGCCCTCAACTTGTCAGAGATCTTCTGGGATCTCCCTAAATCCAGCATAGCTACCTCTTCTTTGTGCTTCCACAGCACTCTGGACTTCAACTCACAGCATAACTATCTAGTTTCTAGTCTTTGTGTTGCATCTGGCCAGCACTTATTTTCTTTTCAAATATTTAATTTTTTTAAAATTAGTTTTCAATATTAAAAATGGAGAATATCCTTGAAAAATTAGACAATCTGTCAGCCATGAGTCCCACACCAACGCCATGTGAGTCAGAGCTGAGCATCAGCTGTCCTTTACATGGGAGAACTATACTCTCTAGTGTACCAGTCTCCACCACTCCCTGTTGTCACCCTGGGCTCCCTTCCCTCATCTGATCATCAACCCAGCCATTTGAGTTTGTCCCCAATCAGGCTTGAGGACTTCATGACAAGCACTGTGATTTCACTCCAGAATCATAATGTTCCCAATATGTGTCTAATCCATGTTAAATGAATGAAGAAATTCATTAATTAGAGTTAATATTTTACCTCTCAGAGTTCTAAGGGATGAAACAATATATGTGAAAAAACATATGGAAGTATAACTTGAGATTGAAATACAAATTACTGTGGTAGAACAAATCCAGGTCAGCACACTATTTCTTGAATGTAGTGCTCTAATATTGACAAAGATCACTAGGGAGGAAGATCTGGTATTTATCTTTCTAATTTTTACAATAAGTAACCTTTCTGAAAACCATCTTTATTTTTGATTTTGTAAATGACTAAAATATATGAATCTTGGGATAATTTGAATAATCTAGATACTCCTTTTCTCAGAATAAATTATTTAATTTTTCCATCTCTTAAAAGCTATTTATTATCCAACAGATGTAGTGCAGGCAATAAGTAACAGTTTTCATCTAGTAAAACTGTATTAACATTATGTAATGAAGCTACATTAAACCTTTACATTTTTTCCAATATGCAATAAGATGAAACATTTTTTAAAATGTCAACATTAAAGCAA